CACTTTGGTTTTCCAACTAGATGTTAGAGTCCAGCCAGAATTCGGTCCTTGCCTACAAGTGTGTGTGACGTGCCTGCATGTAGATTTCAGTAGGAATCATGGCATGTGTATCTCTAGACAGCCCTCCATTTTCCCTCTAAAAGGGCATGGAAAGTTCCAAATATAGGTACTTTAGTCAGAGGTCCTGCCAAACTATTGTTGGTAGAGAGTCCACATGAAGAAATCTTGTGTCCTCCCTGACAGTGGTGCTCGTGAGTGTCTCCAAGTGTTCCTAGTCAGGAGTGGGAGAGAATGGCAAGCAAAGTGTGAAAATTTTTTAAGATTACAATTGAATTAAATATCCAAGATCATGCCAGGAAAATATCTTTTTGTCAGATGGAGCTTTTCCATCAAAATTAAATGTCATGAACTGGGACTAGTGATGAGGGTCTAAAATGCCAACAAAAGGAAGGCCTGCCTAGGTTATACATCAGACCACCCCAGCGAATATTGTGAGATTGTCTCAACGAAAGGGGTTGAACAGTAAATTAGAGCTGTAGTGTACACGGGGGCTTAGATTCAAACCCCAATACCACTAACCAAACAGTGGGTTTCCCTCCAAGTCACTTTAAGCATAAGGCCACAGTGGGAATGTTTTTTGTTTTTGTTTTTTTTTAAATCTCACTAATGTGATACAATGGGACATGCAGTTATTACTGATAATTGCTTTACCAGAAAAGATTTAATGTGAATCTAATCATGAAGAAGCAATCAGTCCTGATTGTACCCGTGGCTGGAGTAATTACTGGGTGAGCCTAGTAGGCTCCCTTTTTTTTTCTGTTCTGAAACTCTTAAATAAACCCACATTTCTGAAGGCAAGTTAATAACTGATAATAACCACCACACCATTCAAATAGCTTGTTTACTTCCTCTTGTATAAAATCGTCTATACTACCATTACTGAGTCTTATTTGAGGTGGCAGGTTCTTGGGAAAGCACCATATCCCTATATAAAACTTTCAAAGCTGCAACAGAAAAAGTTGGTATCTTACATGCCCATTTAAGTTATGTGTATATGTGCTTGTGTAAGTGGATCCCCACAGAAGCCAGAAGAGAACATCATATCCTCTGAAGCTAGAGTTATACAGCACAGGTAGCTGTAAACTGCCCAGCATGGATGCTAAAAACAAACTTGAGCCCTCTGGAAAAGCAGCAAGTCCTCTATAGCCATTGAACCATCTCCTCACATACTCATTTCTCTTCTATCTTGAGATATTTCACTGTTTCCTAGGTGTCATGAATCCTAACTCCAGACATCCTGAAACTCAGCAGCAGCCTTCTTGCTTCTGTTACAGCAGTGAGCTGTCATAACCCAGCTCTAAAGTCTGGAATAATAAATTTTTTCCAGATAGGATACTGGGGAGAAAGGGCTCAGGATGTAGTAGTGCATTGGTGAAGTGCTGTCTAGCATGCATGAAGCCCTATGTTAGATCAGCCCTCAATAGATGGACTACAGTGACCCTCACCTCTAGTCTCAGAACTAATGCAGGAATGTCAGAAGTTCAAAGACATCCTCGGCATGGTTATAGAATATATAACAGAGAATAGCTTAAAACATTAATATTGGGCCAGTGAGGTAGATTATCAGGTAAAAAGTACCTGTCACCAAGGCCTAACTACCATGTGTGTCTGATTCCCAACACCCACATGGTAAAAAGAACATATCAGTGTGTGAGTTTTTCCATGGCTAGTTGTGGCTAGCTTAGCCTACATAGTGAGTTCCAGTTCCAGCCTAGTCTACATAGTTCCAGGACAGCAAGGACTACTTATAGAGGGCTTGTCTCTAAGTTTTTTTTTTTTTTTAAGTGACCTCCCTATATACACTACAGCACATGAAAAATTTCCAAATAAAGATAGCATTAGTAATTGAGTAATGAGATGCACAGATTATTTACAGTTTTGTTCTAATTGGGAGTGAGGGTGACACAGGTTTCCCTGTGTAGCCCTGGGTGTCCTGGAACTGTCCTGGAACTGCATGCCTGTAGTCTCCTAGAGCTCATTCCATCCTGAGGAAAAGTCTTCTCCAGATGAGCCTCAGGCCTTTTCTCTCTACCTTCTTCCTCTGTCATCTCTGACATCCCCTCCAGCAACCCTGCCCTTCCCTTTAAACCCTCCCACTGTAGAGCCTTAAACTTTTTCCTGGATTGCCTTCTTCCAGAGTCTGCTTGATCGACTTGTTTTACAGGCCTTGGAGATGGCTCAGTGTGTTAGTGTTTCAATGCAAGCCTGATGCTTGGACGCTTTCCAGTGGATCCTGGAACCCAGTTGCACTGACACTTTACACTTTTACTGCTTCAGGTTTTTGTTTGATTTCTTCCTCTGAATATAAAGATGAAATGTTTTATCTTGAGGTCTCAGATAGAAAACTTGTTTGTTTGAGATAAGGTGTGTAATCAGGGTGAATGACCTTGAAGTCCTGATTGTCTTACCTGCCACACCCAAGTACTGCTTCATCTGAAGCTCTGCCATTTCCCCCCATGGTGCTAAGGATGGAATCCACAACCTCGTATGTACAAGGCAAGTTCTGGGGACTCCTATGGTCTCATGTCAGCCTCCTAAAACAAGAGTTTATCCTGTATTTGATGCTCAGTATATGTTGGTTCATTTTCCAGCACTGAAAATAACTACACCCCCCCCCACCTTAATCAAAATGAAAGAATAAGAATTGTAAATTACTTGGAAATCAATCGGCATTTAAAACTTCTGGGGGGGTCGGGGCAGGAGAGATGTCTCAGGGGTTAAGAGAACTGGCTGCTCTTTTCAGAGGAACTGATTTCAGTTCTCAGCACCCACATAGCAGCTCACACCTGTCTGTAACCTCAGTTTCAGGGCACTCTTCTACAGACATACATGCAGGGAAAATCACCAGTGAACATTTAACAGGTACCTGATGTCCGAAGTTCGGTTCCTTGGAACCCATATAGAAGAAGGAGAAAACTGATTCCCATAAGTTATACTCTCACCTTCCCAGTTCACTACGGCATGCACAGACACTTGAATAGTGACACACACTTGTAATTCCAGTTCTCAAGCTAGTATATGTAGATAGAAGCTTGAATCCAGCCTGGGCCACATATGTAGCTAGTGGGAAATTTTCTCTAATATCACACACACATATTCAAGACTACTTTCAAGAATAAACATTTAAGCGTGACAGAAAACCTGTGTTTGGAAGCTGAAAGAACAATAGTCATTTGGGAAAGCACAGCAGGTTTTCCTTTCCCAGCTGAGTGAGTCAAGAAAGCTAGTCTTGTCTTTAGGATTCATGTGTGGATGAGGTAGACTCCTGAGACTGAGGCTTCAAGGAGAGAGGAGGGAAGATACAGATGTCCGCGGAGCTGTGGACCAGAGTCCTTGCAGCTGATGCTACTGACCTACTTGGTCTCCAGCAGTAAGACTTTGAGGTTTGTGACCATTGACTAGTCATAGGACTTGCTACAAAGGCTGACTTTATGTGTGTTTGCTCACTGAATGCAGACTGTTCAATCCCCAAGGGCTCAGTGCAGCCATAATGGTGCCCATTGTTCTCAGTTATTCTGGGAGTGACAAGGTTCATGACAAGTAGACAGCAGGGAGGACATCATAGGCTATTAGGACAGCATTTCTGTCTTGGAATCTCTGTGACCTTTGTCCATTCTTTTTAGTCTTTGCTCTGAATGTCCACAATCTTAACTTTTGGGCAGTAGGATGACACTCCTTTCTTCTATATGAAGATGAGCGTAAGTTGGGTGTTTACTTGTGTTCTGGGTGATGTCCTGGCTGGAAGCTCCACCATAGCCCATATTCATGGTGATAGGTTTTACTGGGACCCTCTTGACAAATTTCTAAACTTTGGCATGGTGGCATTCACTAAAGAGTACAGTTTACCATTAACCCTTGAAATAGGAAAACATGGTAAGAATGTCAAAGACCTTGTTCATCATATGGTCTGCCTCTTCTAAAGCCAAGCAGTAACAGATATAAGCTGACCAATTTCTTCTACAAAAAAATATGGTAATGCTCCAAATAAATGGCCACCATTATGTGCATACAATATTGGATGATCTCCATCTTCTCTTTGATGGACATACCTCAGATTTCTTCTTACCTCACTCATGGTAATATCACCACTTGTCAAGGAGAGGCGGGTGGAACTGAGTTCGAGGTCAGCCTGCACTTCAGAGAAAGTTGCAGGACATCCAGGGCAACACAGATAAGCCCTGTGTCAGGAATATATGTTTTTTTTGGGAGGGGAGGTATGATGGGGGGCCAGAGTCCAACTAGTATTTATTAGGTCACCATATGTGATGTCCTTGTCTGTCTTCTTCATGGACATAAGGATGGACACTCAACCACATTCCACAGAATCTTCTCTTCCCTCAGTTTCTTCTCTTTGGCAGAGTCTGTGCATGCTTCTGCTCTTGCTGATCTAGGAACGCTGATGCCACTTC